ACCCAGCACCCGCGGGGCCGGGGGCTGCCGGGATGGGGCTGGGTGGGAAGGGGTGCGTGCCTGTGGGGCTGCTGCTCCTGAGGGCTGGACAGGGACACACTTCCCCCCTGAGCCTCCTGTGCCCCAGCTCTGCAGAGAACTCGCAGTGTTGTCCTGGCGGATTTGTAAAACAGTTATTCTGTTCAGATAAACCAGTTCTGAGAGGCTGCGGAGGACAGCTCTGCGAGCACAGGAGCCCGGGCGATGCCCCCAGCCCCGGTGCGCGGGTTCCGCGGGGACGCGGGGGCGGTGCGGGCGCGGAGGGGCCGGCCCCAGCTGCCCCGTGCCGCAAGCGTCACCCTCACTGTATATCGGAAAGTTTGGGGGGATGTTTATTTCTTCTGTGATGGCTGCCTTCCCCAGAGGGGCCCGAGCCCGGGCTGGCGCTGCCCTGTCCCCGCTGAGGGGGCAGCTGCGCCCCGCAGCCCAGCCTGGCCTCTGTTCGTGTGGGGATTCATATTGTTCATTGTTGTCGTCCTATGAAATCTGTTCTCCTGTCAAGCCACGGGTGTCCTTTTCTTTCCCTGACTCCCCCTCCCGGGTGGGGTTGGGTCAAACTGAGACCCCTTCGTGCCGGGGGGCGCCGGGTGCCCCCGGGGCTGCCCTGCAGGGCAGGGGCTGCCCCTGCTCGCTGCGATTCCCGGTGGGTGCCCAGGGCTCCAGCGCCTGGCAGCCCCGCATGTTTGCGGCTGCAAAATCCCGGAAAGGCTTGGCACGGCGGAGTCCCGTGGCGGCTTGGAAGGGGTTTTCCCGTGCTCCTGCTGCTGGGAAGGGTGCTGGCTGCCTGCAGCGAGGTCAGGGGGTCTGGAGCAGGCAGGGCGAGGAAGCGGTGATAAAAGGGGGGGGGAGGAAGCCCTCCGCATCAACCACGAAGGAGGCTGCTGCGAGGAGAGGGAGCTGCGAGCATGGGGTGAGCCACCTCGCTGTGTCCCTGCCCCTGCGCGATGCTGCCTCTGTCCTTGGCTGCGGGCTGGTCCAGGGCCGGTGCTGGGAGGTGAAATGCTGAGTCCCGGCATGGCAGCCCCACGCTCCACAGCAGCAGGCTCCGGCTCTGCACCAGGATGGGCATCCCCAGGGGTGCAGGGTCAGCCTTCTGACCCCCAGAGAGGGGCCTGGTGGAGCGCACAGCACCGGGATCAGGGGTGGGAGCCTGGCTGAGCGCGCCTTCTCGTCCCTGCAGACCTGCAGTGCTGCTGATCAGCGCCCTGGCCTGGACCTTGCTGGAGACCGCAGCTGCCGCCGGGACTGCCCCGGGCACGG